GTATAGCGATACCAGATTTCAAACTATACTACAGAGCAATAGTAACAAAAACAGCATGGTACTGGTACCAAAACAGGCGGGTGGAGCAATGGTACAGAATAGAGGACACAGAGACTAATCCACAAAGTTACAACTATCTTATATTTGATAAAGGGGCTAAAAGCATGCAATGGAGGAAGGATAGCATCTTCAACAAATGGTGCTGGGAAAACTGGAAATCCATATGCAACAAAATGAAACTGAATCCCCTTCTCTCGCCATGCACAAAAGTTAACTCAAAATGGATCAAGGAGCTTGATATCAAATCAGAGACTCTGCGTCTGATAGAAGAAAAAGTTGGCTCTGATCTACATATTGTGGGGTTGGGCTCCAAATTCCTTAATAGGACACCCATAGCACAAGAGTTAACAACAAGAATCAACAAATGGGACTTACTTAAACTAAAAAGTTTTTTCTCAGCAAGAGAAACAATAAGAGAGGTAAATAGGGAGCCTACATCCTGGGAACAAATTTTTACTCCTCACACTTCAGATAAAGCCCTAATATCCAGAGTATACAAAGAACTCAAAAAATTAAACAATAAGATAACAAATAATCCAATCAACAAATGGGCCAAGGACCTGAACAGACACTTCTCAAAGGAGGACATACAATCAATCAACAAGTACATGAAAAAATGCTCACCATCTCTAGCAGTCAGAGAAATGCAAATCAAAACCACCCTAAGATACCATCTCACTCCAGTTAGATTGGCAGCCATTATGAAGTCAAACAACAACAAGTGCTGGCGAGGATGTGGGGAAAAGGGTACACTTGTACATTGCTGGTGGGACTGCAGATTGGTGCAGCCAATTTGGAAAGCAGTATGTAGATTTCTTGGAAAGCTGGGAATGGAACCACCATTTGACCCAGCTATTCCCCTTCTTGGTCTATTCCCTAAAGACCTAAAAAGAGCATGCTACAGGGACACTGCTACATCGATGTTCATAGCAGCACAATTCACAATAGCAAGACTGTGGAACCAACCTAGATGCCCTTCAATAGACGAATGGATAAAAAAAATGTGACATTTATACACAATGGAGTATTACTCTGCATTAAAAAATGACAAAATCATAGAATTTGCAGGGAAATGGATGGCATTAGAGCAGATTATGCTAAGTGAAGCTAGCCAATCCCTAAAAAACAAATGCCAAATGTCTTCTTTGATATAAGGAGAGTAACTAAGATCAGAGTAGAGACGAAGAGCAGGAGAAGAAGATTAACATTTAACAGGGATGAGAGGGGGGAGGGAAAGGGAGAGAGAAGGGAAATTGCATGGAAATGGAAGGAGACCCTCAGAGTTATACAGCGGAGGGGGTAGAGAGAGAGGAGGGGAGGGGAGGGGAGAGGTGGGGAGGGGGGAGGGTGGAGGATAGGAAAGGCAGCGGAGCACAACAGACACTAGTATGGCAATATGTAAATCAATGGATGTGTAACTGATGTGATTCTGCAATCTGTGTATGGGGTGAAGGTGGGACTTCATAACCCACTTGAATCAAAGTGTGGAATATGATATGTCAAGAAATTTGTAATGTTTTGAACAACCAACAATACAAAATTAAAAAAATAAAATAAAATAAATAAATAAAAAGTCCACGAAAAAAAAAAAAGACCAACTCAAGCTGAGCACAGTTTTGCACACCTGTAATCCCAGAAGTTGAGGGGGCAAACGCAGGAGGATCCCAAGTTCAAAGCCAGCCTCAGCAACTTAGTGAGACCCTGTCTCAAAATAAAAAATAAAAGGTGCGAGAGATGTGACTCAGTGACCAACTCAAGACAAAACCAAGAAGTCCATCAATAGTCTTGGTCAGCCACCAGTAGGTTACTAGACTGCAGAGGAAATACCTGGAGACCCAATCAGGAGCCCAAGTCACTATGCAGTGGGCTTAGAGAATTGCTCTAGGGTTTCCAGACTAACTTTGGACACTATGATTTCTTCTTTTTTTTTTTTCTTTCTTTCCTTTTTTTTTTTTTTTTTTTTGGTACTGAACATTGAACTCAAGGGCACTCAACCACTGAACCACATCCCCAGCCCAATTTTGTATTTTATTTAGAGACAGGGTCTCACTGAGTTGCTTAGCACCTCACCATTGCTGAGGCTGGCTTTGAACTTGTGATCCTTCTGCCTCAGTCTCCTGAGCTGCTGAGATTACAGGCATGTGCTACCATGCCTGGCCAACCTCTTTTAGTAGAAATAAATGATTAAAAACAAAATAGAGTCTAGGACACTCAGATTTAGCTAGATCCCAAAAGATACTAAAGAAGTGATCGATTGAATTAGATTCCTCAAATTTACTTCTTGCTTGTCTATGGTTCTGGAAGTTGCTAAACACTTATCAGGTATATATTTTGAAGGCAGTGATAAAATAGAGATTAGAATTGCTTGGTAACAACCAATTTTATCTATAGAAATGTAAATAGGGAATGATTTCATATCTGAGCAAGAATGCCAAGGTAACCATCACTCAATGTTACACTGCACATTCTGTATAAGTAACTCCACCTCTCAGCATTAAACTAAAAAGTATTCCACAGGAAACCTATGATGTGATCAATCGATAGGAGCACAGCATTTTGTCTAACTTACCTGTCCCTGATTACCTAGTAGTATAGACACTCACAATGTACTCACTAGTTCATGTGTCTTGTATTGCTTCCCTGGTTCTCTCTGCACTGGTATAAACCCTGCTCAGAGTTATAACAGACCAACTAGAGCCTGCAGAAACAGCCAGTAAGTACACTGATAGATGTGTGTCCACTTTGTTTCATACTCTCTTACTAGCTTAACTTACTCTGGATCTCTGTCTGCAAAACAGGGATCTGAGAGTACCTCCCTTGTAAGGATTTTTGGAGTGTTGAGTCAGATAATGTATATAAAATGTGTAGCCTAGTGCCTAGCATGAATTAAATATTCAATAAAAGTTAGTTTTTGTCATTTTTAAGCTGGAATCCCTGCTCACTTAGCTTCTATCATTAGAAATGTGTGGGAAATCTGTTTCTGGTTGAGTTAATGTTGTAGCCCCAAAGAGGCATGGGTCAGTGATTATGAGAGAAGCATCCATCTGCCAAGACAGAAATCCTCTTGCCAGATTATTCAGACTCTTTCCAAGTTTTCAAGTTGGTTAACTACAGGTCAGAGCTCACAGATTTGAATGTGAAAAGGTACCATCAGGCACATGAGTGACATAGGCCAATTTTTCATAAGCTTAATATTCCAGAATATTCTTATATCTTGAAGAAATAATCTTGAAGAAATAATGCACTTTCATGACTGTATTTGAAAAACAATACCTTTGTCATTTTCTCTTTTTAGATTTTTGATAAAGACATAAATGCAGATAAGAATTTCTCTACCATAAGAAAATAACTGTGCGAACACAAAAAGGCCTCAGTATAGAGAATTAAGAGAATTAGAGCAACGACTGCCTACTGGAGTTCTTGTGGCCATAGGGAAGGTTGAGCAAGCATTATCAGTCTTCTGAAATTTCAAAAGAATTCAGAATCTGGAATTTTATTTGAATTCTTCTTCATCATTAAATGCTAAATTAATTTTTAAAACAATATATACACAAACAGAGGGCTGAATTTGTCCTGAGACTGCCAGTTTGTCACTTCCCAGCAAAACAGAAAGTCCACCCTGCTCACTTCTGGGATGATGACTGAGCCCTTTCAGCTTTTCCAAACACAGTGACCACAGAGAGTAGGCTATGCTCTCCTGGGGTGCTTCAATCTGGATGGCATCCCTAGAGCTCAGGCAGAATTTGTCACCAATACTTCTTGTGCTATTGGGGCCCAGTCCCAACACCAGTTGAACCAGCCTCACTGAGAAGTCACCTTCCAGAAATCCCAGGTTGGAGCAAACACTTCATAGATTCTAAGACAGTAGAGGCCACTGAGAAGAGAAGCCAAGCTCTTTGGATAATGGCTTAGCAGAGAAGAAACTTCAGCCTTGTCCATGGCACTGAGGGTCAGTGCTTGGGTGAAGGAAACCACTGAAGGTACTGAACTGGGTCCCACCATTCCCTTGAGATTTTATCCCACCTTCCATTTAGCTCTCTAACATAAACCAACATTCATCTTTTTGCAAAACCCTTTCCTATAGACAATTTAAGGAAACCTATACCCAGAGGGTTTGTGAAATAGAAGAAATGGTTTTCCTTAATCACTTTTCCATAGAGAGAGATGGCAAAGCTGTTTAAAACTCTTCCAGCTGTATTTTTTTCTAGTGATCCCATGAAAACTACCACCACCTCTACCAGCACCACATCAATTATGGCCAACATCTCCCCAGCACTTATTCTTCTCTAGGTATTATTCTGAATGCTATACTTTGCATCATCTTATTTAATCCTTCCAACAACTGGATGAAGTGGATAGTATTATTTTCTTTTTGAGATGAGGAAATAGTTTTAAGAGGCTAATTAAATAAGTGGCCCAAGGTCACAGGGCTAGTAGGTGGTAAAATTTGGTCTCCTTGCAGGTACTTGGACAAGCCTTAACAGGACCTTAAAAATTTGAGTACCTGCCTCTCTGACTTGGTGCAAATTCTCTAGCAGTCATCCTGGAAAAGTAAATGGGGGTTGAACAAGGATTTGGAACTAGAAGATTTATTTGAAGATGGAGGAGCTGGGACTTTACCAACTTAACCTCCCCAACGCCCCCTCCACCCTGCCCCAAAGAGTTTTAAAATCTTTCCCCTTGACAGGGAATCAAAGACGTTAAAGGTAAAAAAGGACCCTAGGGAGCAACAAGTCCAATCATTCCGTTTACTTTGGAAGGCTCTTTTTTCATTGAGCTCAGGAGAATAAATCCCAAGGTTTTATAGTCATTACAACACTTTTCCCTCAAGGGAAAGGTGACAGGTGATGAGACAAGGAAAGATTCTGATGTGATAGTGACCATTCATCCCCAAGAAAATACCTCCAGGAGCCTGAAAAGTCCCCCACCTTCCCCTTTACCTCGTAAGTGCTGGTAATCCCCAGTTTGTAGAACACCGGCAGGAAGACCTCTGCGCTGATGACCACCACAAAGAAATAGGTGATGGCGAAGATGCTGTACATGATCCCAAAACGGTAGATCTCTGCGGGGGTGCCCAGGACCGTGACAGCTGACATGAAACTGGCGGAGAGGGACAGCGCCACGGGCACGGCGGTCATTCTGCGGCCGCCCATCAGAAAGTCCTTGGAGGTCTGCTGGCCGCCCCCCGCGAAGGCGTAGTAGATGCCGATGGCGGCAGAGATGAGCAGCATGCCGGCGAAGACCACGTAGTCCCACACCACGAAGGTGCCAATGTCCCGCTGCGCGCCCATGGCTTGGCGGTGGCCAGCGCTCTGCGCGGAAACTGGTGGCCCCGCGACGCGCAGCCCGCGCCCAGCGTTTTAGCTCAGCTGCCGGCGGCGCTCGCTTCTATTTCCTGGGCGCCGCGGGCGTGGTGTCCTAGGGCGGTTAGAGGCGTCCTCCAGGTGTCTCCCGCAGTCCGGAGCCTTAGAGCAGATAAGAAGGTAAGCGGAGGTACCAGCTGGTAATGGTCCCAGCACTCTCCACTGCGAGCTGCGTCCCGAAGTCTGCGACTTGGGGAATCTGCCCACAGCGCTGAGCGCTCTCCAGGTGCGCGACCGGGTGGCCAGGACAGCCAACGCACCAGGGAACTCGGGCAGGTGAGAACTGGAGCCTCCTGCCCTGCCGCGTCCAGCGAATCCACCAGGAGCGCTCAGCACAAATTTTATCAAGCGACACCTGAAGGGACGCACCATTTAAATAAGCAGGGGACGGGTCGAAGGGCAATTGTCACGCCTCTAGGTTTAGCTTTCCAGTTCAACAGTCCAGATCCTTATTCGAAAGTATGCCTGGAGTTTTTAGATTGTCTTACTTGACAGGTTAATGGGTGATGCGGTTGACAACTGCAGTGCGTGAGCTGAGATCATAGTCCTTGGACAGGTAAGCAATTATAAAGGAGAGGAAGAAGTCTGTGAGATGGGTCACCTGCGTTTTTATTCAACAAACACTTCCCATCCCCGTGCAGCCTGTGATGGAAATGGTAATTTCCAACATTAATAATAACAGCTGTTTAATGAGACTTAGGATATGACACATGCATGCCTGAAACCTTTTCCATTAACAAGTGTAATTTTTACTATTACCCTTGAGATAGGGATTATCTCCACTTTTCAAAGGAGGAAAACTGCTTTAGAAAGGTGAAGTCACTTGCCCAAGGAAATGGTGGAGACAAAGATTCTTAATGCAGGTTGGATTTCAAAGCTTGTTCTCTTAATCACAATGCTATACTTTGTACAAAGTCCACATGTAAATATGAGTTAAAGGTAGGCACAAATGTGCACATTAAATGAAGACACCTGAAAGCATATGGAAGAAAATATTTGTTTGGGTACCAACACTTGGAACATATTTTAAGTGTCTTGCCTTGAAAAATTGTTAGCATCACATGTGTTAGATCATAAAGTAATATGACTTGGATTTTCCTCCTACAACAAGCCCTCCAGCCAAATGTGCCCAGTCGTTGATCTATTTCAGGCAGTCCTTGTCCATTTTCATACATCTTCATAATTTAACATTGCAAATCAAAACTACTCTAAGATTTCATTTCACTCCAGTCAGAATGGCTGGATTGATCAACAATCACAGAATGCCTTTAGCCTAACGTAGTGTGTAAAGAAATCTGTATCAAATTCTAGTTTTTAATAAACTGGCATTTTTTTCTATATCATTTTCAGAAGGAAATAAAGAGGGAAATAGAAACTAAACCCAAGTAATCCAATCATTTAAACAAATATGTGGCTTGGAATTATGTCCCACCTTTGTGAAATTTACTATACCTTTAACTATTTACTCTGTGTGTGGGTAAGAACCTGTAAGAGTAATACACAGAGAAGTCCAGCTCAACTCTTATAGAAACTGAATCTGCTTCTGAAAACTTCTTTAAAGCCAATAGTCCTGGGTTGGAGCAAATATTTTATATACTGTTGGTCACCAAGCTCTCTGGATAATGGCCTAGCTGAGAAGAAGCTCATGACACTGAGGGTCAGTGCTTAGATAAAGGGGAACCGGTCCCACCATTCCCTTGAGCTTTTATCCCAATTTCCCATTTAGCTCTCTAACATAAACCAACATTCACCATCTTTGCAAAACCCTTTTCTTCAGGCAACCTATATCCAGGAGATCTGTGAAATAGAAGAAACAAAATTTATCTTCTTTTGGACACCTAGCACTAAGGGCAGAGCCTCACACAGCTAAGGACCAATACACTCTCTGATCATTAGAGGCCAACTAGCTTAAGGTTAAACCTGACACCCTGGTTTTGCCACCTATTTAGCCATATTTAAGCAAATGCTTACCTCTATTTCTTGGTTTCTCTTATCTAAAATGGGGGTACTGATTCTCATCTCACAGAGCCGAAGAAGGTTAAATAAGATGATATGTGTATAGCCCCTGACAACTGTTGAGTGCTGGCATTGCATATTTAGCTGCTTTTCCAATTTGTTGAGAATGGGGTTGGTACAACTTATAGCTTGGAAGTACTGATGTTAAACACAGCCTGTGATTTCCCTAATTATTTTCCCTTTGATTCAAACTAAAAAGCTGCTTCTCAGCAAAAGAAACAATCAGTGAGGTAAATAGAGAACCTATACTTTGGGTGCAAATTTTTACCATATGCACATCAGATAGAACACTAATCTCTAGGATATATAAAGAATTCAAAAATTTTAACACCAAAAAACCAAATAACCCAATTAATAAATGGGCCAAGGAACTGAATAGATGCTTCTCAGAAGATGACATACAATCAATCAACAAATATAATAAAAAAAATGTTCAACATCTCTAGCAATTAGAGAAATGCAAATCAAAACTACTCTAAGATTTCATTTCACTCCAGTCAGAATGGCAGCTATTAAGAATACAAACAATACAAACTTATTAAAGTGTTGGTGAGGATGTGGGGGGAAAGGCACACTCATCCTTTGTGGGTGGGACTGCAAGTTGATTCAGCCAATATAGAAAGCAGTATGGAGAATTCTTGGAAAACTGGGAATGGAACCACCATTTGACCCAGCTATCCCATTCCTCAGTCTATACCCAAAGGACTTAAAAATAGCATACTCCAGGGACACAGCTACATCAATGTTTATAGTAGCACTATTCACAATAGCTGAACTGTGGAATCAACCTAGATGCCCTTCAGTAGATGAATGGATAAGAAAATGTGGTATATATATACACAATGGAATATTACTCAGCATTTTGAATATGGCATTTACAGGTAAATGGATGGAGTTGGAGAATAAAATGCTAAGTGAAGTTAGCCAATCCCCCAAAAAAACCAATGCTGAATGTTTTCTCTGATATAAAAGGATTTGATTCGTGATGGGGTTGGAGGGGGAGCATTGGAGGATTAGACGAGCACTATATAGGGCAAAGGCACTAGAGGGGGAAATGGGGGTAGGAAAGATAGTGGAATGAGATGGACATCATTACCCTAAGTACATGTATGAAGACACGAATGGTGTGACTCTACTTTGTGTACAACCAGAGATATGAAAAATTGTGCTCTATATGTGTAATAAGAATTATAATGCATTCTGCTTTCCTATATAACAAATTAGAATAAAAAAATCCAAAAAGTTAAAAAAAGGAAACATGGCTAGTATCACTTCATGACACAGAAAATGTTACAATTATACCTATTATAAAGGGATTAAATGAATAAAATAAAGGTATTGTATCCAACTACAACTAAAAAATTAAAATAAATAAATAAATAAAGGGATTATAAGCAAGTTGGAAAGTGAAAGAAGGACAAGATTTTGAGATTATAGAAGTTCTAAATGCCAGGATATAATAAAAATTGGTTTGGGAGTAATTAGTATTTCAAAATGTTAATAAATCAACAGCTAAATAAGTAACATGAGCTGCCTTCAAATGTAAAATTTCATTGACTTGCTATCTAAATTTATTATACTATAAAAACTATATCTTCCCTTAATAAGGTAGATTATATTAGCTATAAGGTATAAATGCTCACTTTTTTGTTTCTTTCCAGAACTTTTCCACTGTTTAGCTTTATTTCTCTTACTAATCAATGTACTTATAAACATATATAACAACATCATATGCCTATTTATGTAGTACCTTCTAAATGCATAGTTCTCCTAAGTTTCAGATATATTCACATTTAATATTATATGAAAACTGTCAAATTAAACCAAATTTTTTGTTCAAGTATCATGTTTTGGTATGTTTTGAAAGTTTGTCAAAACATCTTTTCTCCCAGAAAAAAGTAATCTGTGGCCCTTTGCTACATCTGAAAGTCAAGATACAGACATTGAAAAGGCCAACAGAGCCAAACAAGTTTTCCTGGAGTGAAATTAGGTTTGCATTTCCTCTTAATCAAGTCTCATTAGTTGGAAATGTTTATTTACCACTTTTCCCATAATAAGAAAACAGGGATGAAGTTTACATAGAAAGTTACAGCATTGCAATTTTATATATTATTATTTTGTTTTATATATTATTATTACTATAAATTATTTCATGTTATTTTGGAAGATATTTTATTTGTAGAAATACAGGACTTTTTCTGGATGTCCTCTTTAATTTTAAAACAAAGGAGTTAGAAGGAGAACAATGGAAATGGACTGGTAGTTGGTCATAACTATTTCCAAGTGGAAAATGGACTAGGTTGTGTTGATTTGTGCCATAGCTCATGCAAGGATAGGATCTGTCTTAAGAGCTCTTACTTTTTTAGAAAACAGCTATCTTCATTAATTTTATTATTCTCCCCAATATTGTTTTTAAATTAATGTTCTCAACCTTTCATTTAAGATAGATTCAATTGTTAAAATTTTTCACAAATACTTTATTATCCCTTATCCCACCTGCTGCACAACCAGATGTACTCTCTCCCCCTCTTTGAGTCCCCTTAGCATGTTTATAGTCATTTATTGGCCTTGATAGTGGGATAGTATTACATTTGTTTTAGGGCTGAGAATGTAGCTCAGTGGTAGAGTGCTTGCCTAGCGTACCCTAGACCTTGGGCTAGATCCCCAACACTGGGGGAAAAATATCCTTGTTGGTCATCATTATACAAAGTACACGTATGAAGATTTGAATTGGATGTCAACACACTTTATATACAAACAGAAATACAAAAAGTGTGGTATTTATGTGTATTAAGAATTGTAGGCTGAGGGCCGCAGTGGCTGCCAGCGTGGGGTTGAGCCAGGGGCCGACGGGCTCCGCTCGTAGCCGACGCCTCCTCCGCCCGCCAAGCCCCGCTCTAGCGGCGCCGGGGGCCCGGCTGTTGCGGCTCCCGGGAAATGGGGCCGTGCAGGCCGCAAGTCCTGAGCGCGCTGGCTGGACCGAGGCGCTGCGGGCCGCCGTGGCCGAGCTGCGCGCCCGCGCCGTGGTGGCCGTCCCCACAGACACGCTGTACGGCCTGGCCTGCTCGGCGAGCTGCTCGACAGCACTGGACGCTGTGTACCGCCTCAAGGGCCGCAGCGAGACCAAGCCGCTGGCCGTATGCCTGGGCCGCGTGGCGGACATCTACAGATATTGCCAAGTGAGAGTACCCGAGGAACTCCTCAAAGACCTGTTGCCAGGTCCAGTGACCCTGGTGATGGAACGCTCAGAAGAGCTCAACAAAGACCTGAACCCCTTTACTCCTCTTGTAGGTATCCGGATTCCTGACCATGCCTTCATGCTGGACTTGGCCCAGATGTTTGGGGGACCTCTTGCTCTCACCAGTGCCAACCTCAGCTCCCAGGCCAGTTCTCTGAATGTTGAGGAGTTCCAAGACCTTTGGCCTCATTTGTCCCTGGTCATTGATGGGGGACCAATTGGGGATGGTCAGAGCCCTGAGTGTCGCCTTGGTTCTACTGTGGTTGACTTATCTGTGTCTGGAAAGTTTGGCATCATTCGTCCAGGCTGTGCCCTGGAAAGCACTACAGCCATTCTCCAACAGAAGTATGGGCTACTCCCCTCACACAGGTCCTGCCCATGAAATTCAGGAGAAGGACCCAAGGAGAGTGCTGGATACTATGTGTCTGTCCACTGGTGATTGTCAAGGCCTCATTTGCAGAGGCCACTGGAGCCACATCACTAGTCTATTCTTTAGGCAACACGTCTTTCTGAATACTAGACCAGAAGCTGCTGGTTTAACCACTTTGTGGGAAGGTTATATTTCTTCTGTGGTTGCATACATCAGCGCAAAGCTGAATAAAAAGGTTAAGCACATTCCTAGGGTGGGTCTTAAATCTGATCAGTTTCTCCTCTCCCTCCCTCTCTCTTAAATTGAAAAGTAAGCTGGTCACAGTGGCTCAAGCCTGTGATCCCAGTAACCTGAGGCAGAAGAATAGCAAATTCGAGACCAGCCACAGCAGCTTAGCCAAGCCCTAATCAGCTTGAGACCCTGTCTCAAAATTCAAAAAGGACTGGGGATGTGGCTTGGTGGTTAAGAACCCCTGGATTCAATCACCAATACCAAAAAGTCAGGTTACCAAAAGCAAGGGTTTGCTGGCTCCTCAAACTGGAACCAGGTTAAAATAAAAATTGTAGAACTGCAGACCAAACATTTTCCTCCAAATCTGTGGGGCCAGTAGGGTGGTTGTGATTGCCTGGCAGGGAGAGTTGTCATTTTGGCTTGAAGGGAGATTTGATTGGGGGGGGGGGGGGGGGCTGCAAATTAAATAATACTGGAAACCAAATCCTTTTCAGCCAGTGACTTTTTCTTATTTATTTATAAAATAAATTATAGTTGATTATATGTATATGCCTTTATTTAACTCCAGTGTTTACTCAGCAGCCTTTTATCTTTGTTCAGTATGTATACCAAATGTTAGACATAACTATTGTTGGGCATTTGAGCTTTGTTTTTCTTTACTATTAAAAAATGCTATTAAACATTCTTATAGGGACTGGGGATGTGGCTCAAGTGGTAGCGCGCTCGCCTGGCATGCGTGCGGCCCAGGTTCGATCCTCAGCACCACATACAAACAAAGATGTTGTGTCCACCGAAAAATAAATAAATAAATATTTTTTAAAAAAAAAGTAATGCAAAATAAATAAATAAATAACATTAGATTAGGTAGAAGGAAGTGAAAGAAAGGGAAGGCAGGGCATGTGTGGATAAGAAAAATAGTAGAATGAAACAGACATTATTACTGTATGTATGTATGTGACTGTAGGACCAATGTGATTCTACAATATGTATACTCAGAAAAATGAGAAATTATATCCCATCTATGTATGATACATCAAAGTATATAAGTGCATTCTACTGTCATGTATAACTAATTTAAACAAATAAAAAATAAAATAAAAGTACTTGTTTGAAGACTCTCCATTAACTCATGGATCTCTGAAGCCAAAAGCAGAACTTGAGAGCCACTCTGTATGCCTGCTTCATCTTTCCCTCTGGCTTTCCAGATGGGTTTTCTCTCCATTACAATTGATATATGGACAGAAATGCCCAAGTCAGTGCTTATGTTTTTAATTCAGTGGACAGCAGAAGCTGATTATCACTTTAGAGTCTAACTCTAAATCCTTTGGAGAAGAAATCTGGTTTCTTGATTTGGTTTAAGTCACATGTTCATGGACCACTAATCAAATTAGCAGTGGCCAGAAGGAGAGAGCTCTCACTGTGGCTGACCAGATTGACTGTGAGGGTGGGGAAGGGAGATGAGATATCCAGGTAGGAGGGCGATGAGCTGGCAAGACACTGAGAGGTGTCTCTATTAATCACTGGTATCATTTTATCATCTCCTGTGATTGATGAGAAACTCCCTGGGAAAGGGGACTGATGCTTGCTCATCCTTTTAAATCCCCACATAGTAGCAGTGTGTGTTGCCACAACCTATGAAATTGAGAAATTCCCAAAGTTTCTAAAAGCAAAATTTGGAAATCTGAGAGTGATCTTATTGAATTCTATATCTAGGCTTTTTTGTGCTTTCCTCTAAGGAAAAATAAATAAATAAAAAGCCTCTTTTGTCTCACTTTAAGAGGAAAATTAAAGAAAACATACTCCCAAAATAACCCCCTATTGTCACATGCCTCACCTAGAAATCATGATCATAGGTGTTTATATATGATTGGTACATGGTCAGAAATGTCCAGGCCATTGTTTATTTATCCTTAATTCAGTGGACAGAAGAGCATATAAAAACATAGGATTGTGATATTTCTCTTTCTCTCTCTCTCTCTCTCTCTCTCTCTCTCTCTGTGTGTGTGTGTGTGTGTGTGTGAGTGTGTGTGCAGGATTTGGCACAAAGTATGCATAAGGCTTACTAATAGTATTGATTCTTCCTCTTCTCTCACGTATCACACGTAACTCAAAACAGACCATGTTGGCTTTATATTCAAAGTACAACTGCAACATTACTATTTCTCTCTGCACCACTGTAACCCTGACTCAATCTATCTTCTGTCAGTTGAATGATAGTCTCCTAATTTATTTCCCTGATCTACAGTCTGTTTTTGCATATGAATCTGACTGTGTCACTCCTTGCTCGAAATATTCTACTCCCTTCCAAAGTACTCAGGTCTTGAGCATAACAACCAAGGTCCTCTGTAATCTAGCACCTGGCCACCAGGCAAGTTTCACCTTCTTCCATTTTGTCCTTCCTCACTGGGCCTTCTCACACCAAAATTCTTGCCATTACTTGAGCAATCCAGCAAGTTCTGTCACAGGGCCTTTGTACTTACTGTTCTCTTCCTAGAATGCTTTCTTTCAGATAGTTCCAGTGGCTTCCTCTCTCATTCACAGTTGTCCTGAGTGTCGCTTTGATGTCTCAGGCCTTTCTTTTCTCTGATTATTCTGTATAAGATATGCCTGTCCTCATTTTACCCCATCTTCTTTATCTGTTTATCTGGTTAATCTTCCTACCACTGTCTTAACTTTCCTTTACACTATTCAGTTCTGCTCTGGTAGGAGTGTTGGGGCGGGGGGGGGGGGGGTTAAGTGATACAAGAATTTTGTCAAATCAGTTGACTTCATACCTCAACCTAATTCATGAGGTATTCTTCACATTTCAGAGGAGGGAGTTGGACTTCCTGGGCTCAGGAGGCCATGGAGCACATTCAGCATATGTTACCATGCATACTAAGTATAATATGGTTGCTCTGGGAATAAAGACGTAGATCCTTTGGTAACTTCAGACCTATGAGGTAATTTTCACTATTTTAATGTGGTTGGTGTTGTTTCAGGATACATGGGTGTTGATATGAGGGCTTGAGAAGAAAAAAAATATATTTTTCCTGTCAAAATTAATGTTAGGTACATTTTTAGCCTATGATAATTCCCCACCACAGGGGCCTTTATTCAGGAACAAATTATCCTCATTAATGGGACAGCATTATTCATTACATCTTTATTTATATATCCTCTGTCTATTCCACAAGAATATTAGTTCTACAAGGATAGTGACACTGTTTTATTTGAAAATATTTGGTGCATGTAGGTGTTCAACAAATAAATATGAATGAACATTAAGAATTTACTTAAATTATCAGTGAGAAAATCAACTTTTGTTTCCAAACCAAACAGAAATGTATGGTTCATAATCATGGTTAAGCTAAATGTATGAAAATAAATAAATGTTGGAGGGAAAAATATAAAAAAATAATAATAGTTATTGGAAGGTGGTACTTGTTTGATTTTGCTAAATTTTTTATTTAAAAAATAATTGCCTTGTTTCATTTTTTAATTTATTTACTAAGTAGCTGAGCATGGTAGCACATGCTTATAATTCCAGCTACTCAAGAGGCTGAAGGAGGATCACAAGTTCAAGGCCAGCCTTGGTAACTTAGTGAGACCTTGTCCAAAAATAAAATAGTTTTTAAAAGAATTGGGGATGTAGTTCAGGGGTAAAATGCCCCTGGGTTAAATCCCCTGTATCAAGAGAGAGGGGGGGGAAAAAAGTAAAGCCATAAATGAAAGCATGTTGAATCAGAAGTCAAAACCTGGATTCTCATACTGCCTGTTGAGTGACCTTAGGTAAGTTTCTGAACCTTTATTTAAGCCTCTGTTGCCTCTTTCATAAATAGCAGGTCATTGGACTCTTCAGCTCTAAAATACTTATTCTCCTTTCCTGGCAACATCAGTTGCTAATAATCCTTCCCTCTGTGGTTTCTCCTCTTCCCTCTGACATTCTAGAATGTCAGCAGGCCAATCTAAATAGGTGGGACTGTTTACATTGCCTGTAGATTTTATGATTATTTTCTTTAAAGCAATAGATTCTGTTGTAGTTGCAGCGACTACTCTCTTTACTGGTTGTGGTGGTGGGACCTGTTCTCCAGATTTCATTTGTTCTGGATTTCAGGGACAGGTCAGGAAGCCCCGAGTCCAGCTCGTGGGAGAAAGAACAACATATTCCATCACACTGGCCTCCTGCTCTTCTGGTTTGGGTGGGGTGATGGGTGGCCCTGAGTTGGTGCTGACTTCTCTTTGCTTTCCTTATGTGTGACTTTTGTTTCCCTGGAACAATAGAGAATACCAGACGGGGTAAGCCAGCTTCTGCTGCCCATCTGATGGGTTTACAGAGCTAAACCACCAGCCCCATTAAACTTGTACGTCACAGGCTGTATTTCACTTTCAATAGAGCCATTCCAAGTTTGCATGTGGGATCACTCTGTGCTTTATAAGATGATTTTGTTAGGCAGGAGGTACTTTGAGAATTCCCATCTAATGAGCAAGTTTTTTTTCATGTCACACAGGCAGTGGCCTCTCAGTTTCAAAATCTCTAATCAGAAAAAAAAGAGTTTCTTTAGTTCCTCTGCACCTCATGTGTGATACATACAATTCCCAATTTTGTGATAAAGGCGCCACACCTTTGTGCCAATGTATCAACTATTTCCTGGATGTATTTCAAATGAACATACAAGTGTTACTGCACCATTCTGACTAGGGTCATAGAGTAAGTATGTCAATCTGCTTGCACAAAATCAATAAATAACCAGGTGTCTGAACACAGGATGAGTTTTGTAGGACAATGTTCACATATCTGTGATTAGAAAAAATACATTTTAGGATGAAATGAGCTAACATGTATCAGTTGCTTAAAGCGATTCCTGGTATATAGTAAGTGCTTGATAAAAGTTAGCTTTTCTTGTTTTATTAATTACTATTATTATATTTAAATGCATATGTGGCTCCTTTTCCCTCTAACAATGGAGAGTATTGTTCAGGACAGAGATTTTTACCCTGCCTAATCATTGTAGAAAACTTATAAGTACACCCTAAGTTAAACTCAGGTTTCTGTGATATATATTTATTGTTATTTTATATAAACAGAGGAAGGTATTTATAAATGTCATCAACATGCACTATATATCAAATACTTATTGTATGTAAGTTCTGGGTTAGGAACTGAGATAAAAAGAAATATATCACACAACCAATTCTTGACTTTGAGAATCTTATATTCTAGATGTGGAGACAGGACTTATGAGGTAAGTTTTAAAAAAACTATATTAGCAGAAAAATCATCCATAAGAGTAATTGTTTTGTTGTTTTGGTTTGTCTTTTGTTTTAGTTAGCATATATACTCAGCCCTTGAATTTTTGTTC